TGGTGTATGATGAGTGGTGTATGATGAGTGGTGTATGATGAGTGGTGGTTGAACAGCTGTTGAATGTCCGTAACACGGAAGTTTTGCACACTAAACTTCCTTTGACCACTTGCTTTCACATGTCATGCCGCAGGAGACTCCAATTCATCATCACTTGTCAGCATGGACACCATCCATGCACGTGGACCGGTTGGATGTCCTGGGTGGGTTTTCTGGACCGCTGGGGGTCCCTAGGGGCGCCCTAGGGGCGTCCTGGACCTATGTGGTTGTGGGTGATGGCACCTGGAACCCCGAAACATCCCGGAACTCATCCTGGGTAGGTGGACCATGTCGCGGGGCGTCGATTTTGCTCATGTTCAGTGGTCAAGCAAGGTGTCCGGGTGCCATAAACCACGGCCAAAACAAAAGGAAACACACCATGGTTTCGTGGAGAATTACTGTAGATGTTTGGTCTTCGGAGGTCAGCCAGGCCATTGAGGTCTGTTTCAGGTCGAGGTGTTTGTCTTTTTTGAAGGCCAGTGTTGGTGGCTTCTTACCGTCGTTTGCTTCCAGGCGTCCAGAATGGCCAGGGCTGTGCAGTCTTGAACTTTCACTGGAAGTTCCCACAGAGTTAAAATGAACCGCATGTTGTCTATAGTATACTTGAGCAAGACCCATCTACATGTTGTGGGGGGCATTGCGCGACTTGAACAAGAAATACACATCTCCCATGATTTTTGGGGGACAGCTCCCATCGCATTAATAATTTCAACACTCAACTACGTTGGGTGTTGCTTTGTTCCTTGTCTTGCAGCAAGTCAACCCCAAACATCTCTATCTCTTTTTTGCACCTTCCGGAACCCCCCAACCTGGGGCTCGACCTCCAACAAAAACCACCGAAAAAGCCGGGGCGCCAACACCACCACGTCCATCCGTGAGGGCCGCCACGGTGCCGGCCCTCTCACCGCCCAGGTGCCTCCCACGGCTCGAAAGCTGAAGACTTCCGCCTTGATCATCGTGCAGAGCGCCCCCCGACCGCGACAGGGAACCGGAGAGAGAGAGAGAGAAGGACGGGACCGGGGTCGTCGTCGTGCCGTGGAACGAGGGCGAAGGACGGGAGGATTGAAGGCGTTCAATGGTGGGGCCCAAAAAAAAGGAACGGATCCTTAACCCAAGAGAATGGAGGAGACAACGGATTTGTGTTGATTCTTTTGATTCTCAATGAATGCTAGGGGGGGAAAAGAGCTTTTTCCCCCAAATCCTTAGCCAAAAGAAGGTCGTTTTGGTTCCTTTTTTTCGCATTTGCGGATCACACGAGTCCCCAGTGAGCTTGAGCTCACAGTGAGTTTCTGGAGCGCTTTTTCGCTCCACATGAGTCCGAAGCACCGAGCCCAGCGACGGATCCGTTGACGAGCGAGCTCGACCGTTGGAGCTCGACCTTTCAGAAAGGCACGAAAGGCACTGCAGCCCGGCCAGGAAGAGTGGATATGTACTAATTATAGGGGTCTATCCCTTTACCTGTAACAGTCGGTCAACAAGCAGCATCACGATGTTATATCGATGGAAAGGCCTAGTTTCGGCCTGAACCACTGATCATCCACTGGGCCCGGCGGTGGGATATACCGTCTTGGGTCTCTCTGAACTGACTTGTAGAGCCGTCAGTAACAAGCAAATCGCCTGTCTTTTGGACCGGTCAGCCTGCAACCAGGCTCCATCTGAGAAACCTGCTGAGTCGTTTCCACCGGTTTTGGCTGAAAACGAGATTTGCAGACCTGAAAAAACCCGTCCCGGCCCAGCGTGGGATTTCATGGTTCGTTTTGGTTCAAATAAGAAAGGTCACCCTTGATGGGCTGGGTGGTGCTTTCTGGCTTTCCGATATGTTTTTTGTCAGCCTTCAATTGGGATGATTGGTCACCCACTGCACTATGTTTGTTTTTTGTATGCCACTTGACAGACACGACCAGCTGCGGCGCATCACGCGTCATGCTTTTCTGATCATGTTTCGTTCAGGTGAGTGGCCGCGCGACCAAAGTGGGCGTGAAGAAGATCTCCATCCAGGATGGAGTCGAACCTTGGGAATCCTCCAGCGGACATGGTACATGTTGGTACTGTCAATGGCGGATGAGGGATGTGGGACGTTGCTTGGAGGATATGTGGTTCATGATTTTCCCATGATGCCATATGTGTGTGTGCTTGGTGGATAGTATTTACTGGACGATGGGAGCATCACGAAAAGAGGAGTTGACCTTTGGATACTGGAACGAAATCATGCCTAGAACTTGAAGAGAGGTGACTATCCGTTTATGTAGTTGGAGGCCGCTATGTGTCCTTCTCCAAGGATACCGCTCATATCCCAAGTTCACTCTCAACTCCTCTTGATTTGAGCCAAGAGTTCTGACCCTGGGCATTTGGTGTCCAGAAAAGACACTTTCATGTTCAGTTATACGCACAAAGTCGGAGAACACTGGTGTGAAAAACATCGACAGTCATTGCACGGCACGAACAGCCAATTTTTCCCCGACGACCACCACGGGAGCTATCTCTTTCAATGCACGGCACGAAGGACACGGAAGGGTTCACGGGATTGGTTTTGTTTAAGCGAAAAAAGAAGATGTTTGTTAAGGACAGAAATGCGTGCAAAGAACAGAGGGTCAATACGGAATTTTGTGGTGCATGAATCTAGAGTCCACTTGAAATCGATAAACCCATTCAGTGGCTTCAGAGTAGATGGCACAGGCACCCCAAGATGCCTTTTAAATGGGTCCATGCAAACCACTTAACTTGGGGCAACTTGTGCCATCCACTCTCAATCCACTGTAACAAACAGTCCCTCCATGTGTGATGAAGAACAAAGTCGATCTACTTGAGGAACGACCCTGCCCGGCTATCACCGATACACCGGAACCTCCCAGAAGCGCGACGCCAGGACCGACACAAGCTGCACAAGGAACATGTGCCTTGGATAAAGAACCGTCCCAAGGAACTGGTGGGACCGGTGAAGGCTGAAGGCTGAAGGCGCAGGGCTCGAAATTTGAAGATGCAATGAGATCAATTGGTATAGTAAGTTGTTAGTTGTTAGCACTTGGAATTACTTTATGTTCTAAGTGCTGGCCACTTACTTATCAATTAGTATAGCAATTAATTTATTATAGGTTGTTGCCAGGCCACAGACCCTCATTGGCTCCTCTCTGGAGCCGATCGATGTAGAGAACGAATCCAGAAAATGGTGATCATCTCGAATCACCCGGTCAGGTGTCAGGTGTCTACATCACAACATATTCCATGTCAGTGTCTACCCGCGGTGTCAGGTGTCTACCCATGTCAGGTTTCCCATACACTCCATGGGACTGGAATACGGATCCATTCTACTAGTGGCCTACATTGACCTCCCTGGCACCACCCAACTGATCGGTCAACTATGCCAGTCCGATGGAGATGGAGCGTTTGGGATTGGGATCACCTGCAGGTCACCCTTTGTTTGGGGGGGGGGAGACGTTTCCCCACTAGGTGGTAAAGAGATGATGGTGAACAGATGATGCTGGACACATCGCTAAGCTGTCGGTTTTTCCAGGGAAACTGATTCAGGGAGTCAGACTGATTGCGGGTATTAAGTTGGGTGGGTCCATCGAAACCCTTTTGATAGCTGATACAGTACTCATCCTCATACTCCATACTGGACAGTTCGGATGAGTTGGCCCAGTTGAATTTGTTGATGGGATTCCTGAAACCCGGTTTCAGGGAGGTTTTGGACCCAAGACCTTGTCTTGTTGAGCTTTTTGTTGGGATTTGAGACGACCGAACCAGGTCAACCATTCCTTTTCCATGGTCTTCCCGGAAGGCTAGGGCGGCTAGGGGATATGTAATCTAGACGCGATCGATTCAATAGGACCCAGATGACCCAGATTCAGATTCCCACATGGGTGCCTGGTGGTTATTCAAACCAAAAGAGCCCTGATTAAAAAGGGTCAATCATCCAAATCGGTTTGTGCAGTGATGTGTGTATTTTGCAGGTCCAACCACATCAGGGTAGATTCTTGGCTTCTTCGGATTCAAAATGGCTATGTGATTCTGAATCACTGGGGCAGTGCCGTCTTCTTCCGGATTTCACCTCTTCCCTCTCTGCCGTCTTCTGCGTTCGCGGCATTCCTCGACGGCCGCTGCCTTCGCTCATCCGAAGATGTCTGGGACTGCCATAGGACATGGGAATGCCGCGGTTCCACGGGTGGTGTGGTTTTGGGTGTGTTCCCATGTGTTGTGTGTGCGCTCTCATATCCCAATGTATGCCATATATGGCCTACATTGACCCCCTTTCAACCACCCCTGGCCTGATCGGCATATATGGCAGTCCCATGGAGTGTGGGTCATGTTTTCGGCCTCCGCCGAGAACTGGTTGCCGGACGACTACGAGAAGTTCCTCTTCGAGTACCAGGCGCTGTGCCACCGACGCACCGCCTGGTGATCGTTTTGGTGAAAGATATACCTGCATCTTCATTGGACAATTCTTTTTTGTGCACCTTGATTTTGGAGGAGATTTCTAGGTACTCCAAAGAAATCTGTGCACTTGAAAGCAAAACTGTGAAATTCTGTGAGCATGGTCCTACCTTGAAACACACAACAAGGCCTTGCTTGTCACACAGCTCAACTTCCGGATCTCCCATTTCATTTTCATATGGATCAGGTCAAGCACTCTGTGTCTTGCAGTTCTTGAACTCACTCTCTGACATATCCCGCTAACATGTCCCACCACAGATTCACAAGCTTCGTAACTGTAGGCTAGTGGAAGGGAAAAGATGTGTATTGCATAGAAAAGACGTGTATAGGACGGGAACAGAAGTGTATTGGACGGGTAAAGATGTGTGCTTGACTTGAATTTCCGAACAATTTTGTCACGCGGGGCTTTTCCTCAAAATTATGCCCTGCCGGTGTCATTCCTTTGGGATGGACACACCCTTCGACCCACAAAGGTATCTCACTACTGCTGACATAGCTCTCATGTTTCACTGTATGACAGGCTTTGGAAGTGGGAAAATGCCACCCAATACGGAACATGTGCACTTCACATGACGTTTGTAGACTTTGGTGCCTTTTTTTGCTGAAAGACGTGTAGTGCACATGACTTTCTGAATGCACCATAAGTGTTGATCATTTGAGGTTGCAGGTATAAAGAAATGGTTACCTGAAAGGCCACTTCCAAACTTCATTTAGACTTATGTCGGGCACGCCAGCCATAGATACAAGGAGCCAAAATAGTTTTATAAAGCAAAAACAAAGCAAAAAAAATGCAAAAGGCAAAGCAAACAAAAAAGCAAAAACATGTAGCTGTGGGTATTTGTCGGTTTTTTCACTTTTTGTTCGCTTATTTTTCGCATGTGTTTCGCTTTATTTTCGCATTTGTTTCGCTTTTGTTTTCGCTTTTTTCCTAGGAGGGTACAGCTTTTTTTTCGCTTTTGTTTTTGCTGTACCCTCCTAGGAAAAAAGCGAAAAAAAAAAAAAAAAAAAAAAAAAAAAAAAAAAAAAAAAACGAAAAAAAAAAGAAAAAAAAAAAAAAAAAAAAAAAAAAAAAAAGCCAAAAATACGCACAGCTACATTTTTTTTTTTTTTTTGCCTATTATTTCGAATTGTTTTTGCTTTGTTATTTGCTTTTGTTTTGCTTTGTTTTTGCTTTTTGCTTTGTTTTTGCATTTTCAATTGCTTTTATTTTGCTTTGTTTTTGACTTTTTTGTAAAAAACTCACTATTTGATGGTTGGCCATGTATGGCTCCCATCGCCCAACATAAATTTAGACTTTTATAGGCACATGTATCTTGGGTTTGTCCAATTACCAGTAACAGTCAGTAAACAATTATATTATATTACTATGTTTGAACAAGGCCTTTACTAACCATCATCGTTCACTGCTACAGGTAATAGGATAGACCCAACATGTATCCTACATATCCACATTGATTCATCAAACATGTCCTACAAGATATTTGTTTCATACCCCCCCACGCAAACTAGCATTTAACCTGAGATTTCACCCGTGGTTTCGACCATTTTCCGAACACCAACCCAGCGATTTCTGCAGGGGGTTTGCCTCGATATCTGCAGGGGAGTACCAACTGACGGGATCGGTCCGAGTTTGAGAATCACCGGAGCTTGTTTTTGCCTCCGGGTCGGAAACCGAACGTGTCGTCGTGCTGATTTTTTACATACTTGTTGGCATCGTTTGGCACCGTTTCCGACAGAACCACACGTTCGGTTTCCGACCCGGAGGGTTGTTTGGGTTCACGGACCAGGGTCCAATTCATGGATGAGGTCTGGCAATACACGGTGATGCGACATGTCCAACTGCTCGAAGGTCAACGAGTCGAATCACGTCTCAAAAAGCCAGTGAAGCCAACGATGAAGCTCCCAGAGGTCTAGAAGAATCTACTAGTGTTGGAACTCGTACAAAACAACGCAAAAACATGGGCATACAAATGTTGAAACTGTTATGACAAAATCACAAACAACATAGCTGTGATTAGTTAACACACAAAACATCGAGAAGACTTGTCTCAGAGGAAATATCTCAAAAAAGGTACAAACAACCAAAAACAAAAGGACACTCTTTCAGCAACAGCTCAGCGGAATCGGTGTCCACCCCGTTTATAAAAAAGGAAAAAAACATATCAACCAGCAGTTCCAATTGGAGGACAGGGATGCCCACAACATCCACGGCTTAAATGAGAGACTCAAAAGCCACTCCTTAGGAACTGCTGGAAAACATTCTAGGTGATGGTTTCGGATATATTTATTTCAACCCTTACCTGGGGATGAAGAAGGACCCTCTGACTCATATTTTTCCTTCTGGGTTGAAACACCAACCAGACATGGTTCCATCTCCGGCAGGACCTCCCCGCGGCGGTCTACAAGGCCGGCGGGTGGATCATGAACCTCCCCGTCGCCAGCGTGAGGAGCGGTCGGTCGCTTCGTGTCACCGATGGACGCAAACGGTGTGAGTGAGGGCACCAGTTCGACTCACCAAAGGCGTTGGTTGAAGATCCGGAACATAGAGGAATCTGTGCATTTTCGGGTCCACCTAGGGGGTTTGTGGTTTTCATTTAGAGGCATATATCAAGCGACGTGACGTGTGACAGGGGCAGTGGTGTGGAGGGATAGCCACGTGGTGGAGGGGCTGAATAAGATCCCAGCCTAACCAGGAAGTACGTGGATCACCTGTAAAACCTCTTGGGGGGATTGCTTTGCCCACTAATTAGATGGTGAACAAATGGAAGAAGATCATCATGTTGTTCAAGGGAAACTGCATTGATGTGCATCCCGAGAAAACACAATGACTTCTATGCCATCAAACTTTGAAAGATAGCAGTCGTTGGTCGTTGGTTGTGTTGGCAGTCCTTGGAGGGTAAGGGTTTTCTTGTTCACTTCACCACCTATTTTCTTATTGCGACTCAAGGTGTTTGCAGATTCAATAGTTGGAGATGGTGATTTATTCAATCGACAACTGTTGTCTACCGGGCTTTCCCGGGCAGAGTTGGAGCTGGTTGCCCGGTAGAGTACCAGTTCAATCGACAGCAGGCACGTTTGGGAGATAGAACATCCGACGGTGGCGTACTGGGCAACTGTTGTTTTGGCAAGTCCTTGTCTATACTACCTAGCACTTCCAACGGGTGCCCTGTCTGGAGACCTATTGGACACCCAGACAGGATGATCCTGGTTCATGGGCCGGTTGACTTCAGATTGAGGTGATCCATTCAACCCATGATAGGTCTCCAACAAGGTCCCAACAGGCATCCTTGGCATTGACCTTACTCTATGAGGTCCTAGGACTTTGTGTGGGATTTCATTGTCCAGACCTCCACTTTGGTGTTTTGCCCCTCTTCCTCACCCGGTCTCCGACATGAATCAACTGATTTATACCATATATGTCGACCACGACCCATGACCGGTTTCTTGTTTTCGATTGGGCGCCAAACATGTGAAATTCACTCAACACATCCTCCATGAGCTCATTATCTCCATCTCACCTCACTTTGTTCGGATGAACCTTTCTTGGCTCATCAGGTGGCCCTTGGAGCTTGGAGGGGTCGGAAGATCAGGTGGCCCGGCTGGGCCCAGCCAAACCCCCCCCCCCCACCGTCCGTGCGCGGCGCGAGGAGACAGGAGGAACTGGCCGTGGAGCCGCTGGGTGGTACGGGGTTTGAAGGGGATGTGGAGAGCGTCGGCGATGGTCAGAACACGTCCCCAACACATCAATGTGGAAGTCGTGGAGCCGCTGGGCGTGTGTTTTTTCCTCCTCCTCCACAGATGAGACAAGAACAATATATGAGTGAAATGAAAGAAACGCCTCCCAACAACCTTCGCCCCATGCCATTGAACCAATGGATGCAGGAAGGTAAGACTCCGGATTCGGACTTCGTTCGACCGAGCACGGGCGCTTCGTGTTCGTTCATGGCACGGTGGTGACCACGGTCTGCCCGGGGGCCGCCGCGACCGAGCCCAGCCTTTTGGGACCGAGGAAACGCATCAACGAAGCGAAGCAGGCGGACAAAGAAGGTTTGGGTCGCTGGGCTGAACAGCACCGGTGGGGAGAGGAGGAGCAGTGGGAGGACGTGGGGATGCGAAGAAGCGGTCAGTCAGTCGGAGTGGGAGAGGGTGCGAGGGTGCGGCTGTCTTGTGATTTACCCTGAGAGGTTCGAGACTTTTAAACGAAAGGTCTTTAGATGTCGTTGAGTGTCCTGTCGTTAGGGAACTTCCTTTTGTTCTGCAAAACACTCTGACAACTCCGCGTGAGATCTCCAAGGGAAAACAGTGCAATGCAAATCGCAAGCGTGAGGATCATGGAGAGTTTGGTAGGGACACAGGGCACCTACAAATGTTTTCACAGTGGAAATCCATGAAGTTCTTGTGGGTGTCAGCGCAGTGCTCGAAACTAGCAGCAAAAAGAAACGAAACACGTACAGGAGAAGAAGGGTAGTTCCATTTACTTCACTGCATGAGTCTGAGGCAAAAACATTCTTTCGACATCGTTCGACTTTTAGATGTTATGTTCTTTTTACACCTCGTAACAACAGGCGGTTGGAACCCGCGGAGAAATTGACTGCGATATTCCGGGCCTGCAGAGAATGACATATCGCTTGAACGAGATGCATCTCAAAAGCATGTCTCCTCCAAGCCATGTGGTTAAAATCGCAGCAAGGTCTTTGCCCACAATGTGGTTTTTGCTTAAACGTCAGAAACGCTTCGTCCGAAAACGATCTCATGACTTCAAGACTTTTGCGGAAAAAGAAAAGATGAAAAAGTACATACCGGAATGGGTGCCAATCTCTGGAATTCTTGGGTTTATGCTTCGAACTTCGAGTGGTCGTGAATTTTTGGTCGAACTCGATGCGTGTTGACCAGTGCCGTGCTGCACGTTTCCGGATGAACTGCACCGGTCACGAAAAAGAACTCGCCGAGGCATCGATCAGCTCAGTACCTTAGTCACCTTCGAGGCAGCGTCCGGAGAAGGGGCGACGCGTCCCCACTTTCCGGGCGGCGGCCCGTGCTGCGTGAGGACGTAGGTGTTTCAAGGTGTTGCGATGGTTGCCCCTGAAAATGGCGATGTGAAGCCGGGAAAGGGCCGTGCTGACGTTCCAAAAGGCAAAGATGGCAAAGGCCCTGCTGGCCGACCTCCATTCCAAACACACCGACCGCCAAAGTCGCCGGTGTGTTTTTCTTTTTGAGGCACCCAAAGATGGTCCCTGGATACACAATTGGTGCTGTTTGTTGGGACATATCTTTGTGTTCTCCGGGTTTTCGTTGAGCAATCCACACTGCCCCAAAACGTCTGTCTTCTGCATGTGCACCTCTCGTTCGTTGCTTCCTAAAGCACAACTCCATGGGACGGTGACACAAGTCCAGGCCAAATGGATGTGCACAGTACCTACTTTGAAACCAGTACTTCTGCACTGAAATACGTCACCCAGAGTATTGGTTCAGCAGAAGCACTGGATATATCCACTTGGCGATCTTGGCATCCCTAGAGTTTCAATGCAGGCGGCCTTCTCATCCATCAAACCAGCCAGAAGGCATCAATTCTGCATGCCTTTGGACGATCCAAGCAGGCTTATGGCACCTCAACTGGCCAAAAGAAAGAGAACTCCAACCTGCGTTGGGATTTTTTTGCTTTGAAAGCTAAATTGCTCTTCGAAAACTACCGTGGCGACTAGCTGACTAGCGTCGCCAGCGCTTGACGGTGTTGCTCTTCGAAAACCCACCGACGGATGGCCGTCGCCGGCGGCGTTGTTTGGGCCGCAGGACTTCATCGACAAGCTGATGCAGGCCGAGTGCGTTGGTAGGGTGAGTTGGTTGATCCTTTCCGAATGTGCAGGAAAGTCCATGAACCCTATGACTTGGGGCAGGGAGGATGGTTTTCGTTCATCCCCATGTTCCAGCACGCACGACTTCCCTCCATTGGTCATTTCATTTGATGAGTTAACAATGGCGACATGGCGACATGCCTCTTCTTGCAGTATGTACAGAAAGGCATGGCTGAACTCCCAATGAAACCCTAAAGCACGAACGTCACGAGGGAGAAGCAACCTTACATTTAGATATGATAGGAGGATTGCAATTCCTCTATAAACCATGGTCCCTGAGGGGTGTCGATGTTGACCATGAAAGAAACAGAGGGTATTCTGAAGAGAAAAATCAACATGTGCATGGTTTGACCCACACTGAAAAATGGTACACATCGACGTGGTTCTCCAGAGAGAAATCAGCTTTCATAGAATGAATGACCCACCTCAGGGTTCCAGGTGTTTTATACTGTGAAGGCTTCGAACCATGGATTTCTTAGGCATGTTCACGTGGTTGCAGCTGTCCTTTTGTCTAACCGACACTCGAGAGTGCGGTTTGTTTTATACAAACCACTGTTGTTAAACAATAGACCCTGGTTCCATGGATTCCATAGCGCAGTGGATTTCGATGATGGCTTGGGGTACCTTGATTTGATAGAGACCATTTTATGGAGACTCATCCATGTCCGTTGCTTGATCAGTCAACCCTGGGCCCTCAACGCCTATAGAATTGAGGCACCTGCTCTATGTTGTCAACTCGATCGACCTGATATGGATCTTGGGTGGGTGATTCTATAAAGGACCACCTTGAGAGAGCCCCGAGCGGGTAGGGGAATTCCTATATAGTCACTTAGCGGTTCAACATCCTAGAGACATCATTGTAGACTTTGGTCATCCAAGAAACGTTTGTGCCAAGGCCATTTCGCTCATCTCCACCAGCTGGGTCTCTTATGGTCTCATTGTTTCTCCATCCCTGACCACCCAACTCAGGCCCCCAAATTCGAACCACCGCGGCCCAGCGCCACCCCTTTGGGGGCCGTTCGCACCGCACCGAAGCACCGCGTGTTCGCTGCCCCCTCGAGGAGGCGGAGCTCACCCGGGAGGAGGCCAATCTGGAATGGAATCGCCGAAAGCATCTGCCCACGGCGCCTGGGCACGTGGCGTAGCCGGGGGTGCGGATGGCGCCATGGGGTGCGGGGTATGGCGCGCCGCGGGTTTTCCCGACGGGCTTTTCGGGTGGCCGGTGGTGCGGTGACGGTGGTGCGGTGTAGATAGATGGCACAGTATAGAGATGCACAGCAGCAGTTGGAAGCATCAATTTTAGTTGGTCTGACCTATAACCTTGGCTGGTTGATTTCATAGTGAAAACTCTTCTACCAACCTTACCCGGACTCTCATCCTGCAAATCTAATGAAGCTGATGCCATGAGCGCCACAGGATGCCACAGGCATTAAAACTGTCTTCTTCAACACGCTACATGGACTATTGGAAAGCCGACCTCAACCAATCATCCAACTTTGCACACAGACCTCATCCACTGCTTTGACTGTCTTCCTTCTTCCCAACTTCCTCTCAGGAGTACGATCAGGACACGGACCCCCAGGGGCGTTTGATCATTGAGCTCAACATGGATACCTTCAAGGAGCAGCGGTCTGCCCTCAGCATCTTGCACCGGATCGAAGGCTTTTTGCTGCGGTCAGAAACTGGACAAGAAGGTCAAGCTGTGAGTTTTGCAAGTCCTTGATTTTCATGTTTAAGGCTGCATCTTGGAGGGAAAGACTTCTGAAACGAAGGGTACTTTAGGTACTTCCTATACCATGTTCTCCACTATTATTTTCACAAATTATGTACACTCTGACTCACTAACATGGAAGTGGAAAACGGTCCTTTGGAAGACTACTTTCCTTTACAAACAGTGGGTTTTTCCACTTCCATGTTAATGTGTTCGTCGGAGTGTATCTGTTTTCCAAGTTCTTCTCCATGGCTTCGTCGGCCGGCGATCGGATCCTCCGAACCCTCCCAACGACAGGAGCACCTGGCGGAGGTGAAGAAACGGGAACAGACACGCATCAAGAAGCTCCTCGAATGCGGAAAGGGGGCTGGAAGATGGTGAGTGTACCAGGACCCTCCGACCCTCGGGGTGTCCTGGCTGGACTACCCCACACTACCGGCATAGGCTTCCAGACAGGGAACCCCGACAGGAGGGTCCTGGTAGTGTAGCGTAGTGTTGTGTTTTTGTTCCTCATGGGGTGATGATGTTGAAGATAGACATGGCGTACAGATATGCGTACAAGACATGCAAACGAAATCGTTTTGTGACAGTTTGTTTTTTCAACTTTAGACGTTTCAACAGATTGTGTTTGGTTTGTGGTTGGTGGTGGGGGGGTCAATGTTCAAGTGTTTTGCCCAAAAGCCAGAGGTGTCATGTCTTGGGTCCCGAGAATGATGTAAACATGACTGTGGGTTTTATTTGTAAACTGAATCGAGGGCGGGACTCTAAAAATCTGCCGGTTGGTTCGGCCACGCCATCTCGGGTCTCACTTTGGAAAGTTGGAGATCCAACTGGAGGAGATCTCTGGAGAGATCCGACCCCCCAGGAGATCTTCCAAAGTTGGAGACTCGAAACTTCTGGAGGTCCAACATATATACCAACACCTTCCAACGGTCTCCGACATGGAGGCTTTTGTAGACTTAAAAGTCGCGACGGTGGTGACCTGTGAAGTCAGGTCCAACTTATATAGGACGACCTTCCAAACGGTCCCCAACATGGTTCGACGTCTCTATCAGACGGGGTGGACACCCGACGTCTCAAAGATCCCTTGTCAGCCAGTCCGGCGGCAGGAGGGGTTGGGGTGGTTACTGTTGGTCTGTTTTTTTGGGGGGGAGGTTTTGGAGCTCTATACAACGCGAGCCAGATTTTTGCTGAACACCAACTGTTTCAGGCCTTTCAGTGGTGCTTTTCCACCTCCAACCAATTCTTTCAGCTCTAGCTGTTGGAGGAAGCGCCCGCGCGCCCGCGACCTAGTCGTTCGGGAAAACCGTTAAAAGGCTCGGGGGTGACCCGACCCTCCATCTTCTCTAGCTCGGGAGGAACGAATTTCCCGAGTCGTGGATCGTTCAGGGATCTATGTGGGGACGATCTATGTGTTCGTGCATTGCTGGCTGGGTCACTGTAAGGTGCGAGGTACACCCTAGGTCGACACCCTAGGTCCAGGTTGGCATGCACAGTACAGGGATCTTTTGGTGAAATTGGTTGCAAAAGCACCAGCGGAGTGAACGTCTGTGCTGCGATCCAAGGGAAGTCGCGACTTGAAGGGAATTCTGGGAAGTCTTGGTCTTGAAAGGTTTTAGTGATGCTGATTTCAATCTGAGTTCCAGGCTTTGTTGCTGGGATGCCTAATCTTGGAAACACGTCCCAAACAAACAAATCGTCCCAGCACTTGGGAACTTGTATGAAATCGTGGAACATCTTGGAAGATGGAGCATCCTGAAACATCCAAGAGTCGCCTCAAGAGGTCTTGGAACATTTGGCGACTCGACTCCACACACCTCAGTGTCAAGTCCTTCATGCCTCCAAGCATGACTCCAACCATCAGGGATGGATGAGTTCTGCCCCTCAAAAAGTACGGTACGCCACTGGGCCTGACTCCAATGTCTTCCCGACAGCCCCGAACCGCCAAGGTTGGAAGACGCCCGACAGCAGATCCAAAATGCCTTGGACCACGGGCACATCGAGCCCTTGGCGAAGGTGCCCCGCAGCCCTTTGGGGTTGAAGATGCCAAGAAATGAGCAAAACTCCTGAGGGACTCCTGGTGTCTATACACACTGACTCACTAACATGGAAGCAATCTTCCAAGGGACCATGTGCCACTTCCATGTACTTAAAGAGCCACAGAATTGGGCGCTTTGTACTGCTCAGAATGCCTTCCTGTGCACACCAGTACAGGGCCTGGGCCAGTATGCCTATACAGAATTGACTCGTTTTTCTTTTTCAATCCGTGCACATGGTTTTCACCCACCAAAATATAGGTGTTCTTGATTTTTCTTGTATACGATTATCTTCCCTTGACCTTGTGTTTCTATTTTTTGGAAGAGTTCCTCTTCTTTCCTCCTACCATACCTCCAGAGCAGGCGTAGGACCTGACACCGCAGCTGGAAGCCCTGTTTGTTTTACCATTCTTTTCTTCAGAAATGATGACCGAGGGGTTTACCCAAAAAACGAGGACCCAAAACACCAAAGGACCATTCTATGTCTATGTTGTAATTCTTTTCTTCACCCATTGCAAAAGTGCCCGAGGACCACGACCAAGCACCCCCGGCTTCGTCGATCGGGGTCGGTCGCCAGGCGATCCAAGTGGCGGAGGTGGAGACGACGATGTCGGACAAGGCGATGGACGTGGTGAAGACGTAGGGATGGGATGGACGTGGATGAGCTCTGAAAGGGGGATCCAAGTGGATCATGTCTTTGTTTCACATGTTAGGTGACATTAATTTTCATGGTGATTTCATTGGGAATGTGGATCCGGACATGTTTGATGATCCCGTGAACAAGTCAACGATGCTTCAAGACTGAGCAGTGCCAAAGGGCCGCAGGAGGCTGCATCTTTCGCATGCTCTTGGACCATCTGTCTAGTGAAGGCTCAACCGATCCTGAAGGCTCAGGTAGTAACAAGTGCGAAGGATTGCTTCTCTGATTTCAGGACGACATGTTGTTGGGCTCTCGTGGTTTGGCCTTTTCTGCTGGCCGTGGTAGATCTGGACGTGGTAGATGTTGTGCCCAGGGCATCTAGGCAAACCACGATGTCGCTGGTAACCAGTGGTTCCAAAGACTAAAACCATAGACCTAGAATTGCTGGTTCCTTATGTGGTGGTAACTGGGATCCACTATGTGATCCGCATTTTTCTTCACAGCATCAAACATCGGAGGCTGGTGGATTGTCCTGGTGGATGTTAGAACGAAGGCTATCGGCTATAAACGGCTGTAGGTCGTGGCGCGCGTTTCGCCCGGAACGCCAACAAAAAAAGAGCTACATAGGTATGAATGTAGGTCCTAAAAAGACTGGATGACCCAAATAGATTTACGACTATAGCTCTTTGGTAGGTAGGTGGTGATCATGACCCGGAAGGTCCTTAAACATATCCCAGTGGATCCCAGGCAAAGCACGAGTAGTAAGGAACCAGGGGCGAACTGGTTCGGTCGTTGCCTGGAACCACTGGGATTCCCACCGAGCGACATCGTGGGAACGGATGCCCTGGGTATTGGATGTGTTAAGGTCTATCCATGTGCAAAACTAACATGGACCCTGAAAACCACCTGGACACTGTAGAGGACAGCAGTCTTTCAGGGTTCCATTCGACCCGGGTTCCATTCTCAGTTTTCGAGAGTCTATCCATTTGGTACCCCGAACTCGTCCTCTCTGTCCTCGTCTCGTGTGGAACTGCAGGAGCTGCAAGAGGCGAAGGATCGATTGACCTCCTGGCGACTGGTCACTCGGGCGAAACGCACGCTTCGGTCGAACGGCGAAGAGAAACACGGTGAGTTTCGCGAAGAAACACTGTTGGTTGTGAAGATGTGTGATGAAACCGTGAAAAATCATAGGTGAAACTCCAAATCTGAAGTCTTGGGCGTGGCTTTCCTACTTCTTCCTTTAGGACCATGTATAGAGTCTGGATGCCAATGTGTCCGAGCGAAGCGGTGAATTGTCCTGCCCTCAGAATCCTTGGAGTGTCCATAGGGGTCGAACCATTTCCACTGGTGCCGGAGTCTTGCGGTGGAAACCCAAACGATGAATGCTGCACGTCGCTTTGTTCCCCTCACAGGTGCAGAACCAGAAACCGGGTTTCCACGGGAGTCACCGCGAGTCCCCCCGACCTCGTCCCGAGGTGGACGGGAAGATCCAGGAAGCCATCGCGGTGCGGAAGGAAGGGCCCCTCGGCTGGCAGCTTTTGGGCCAAAGAAACACCAAGCCGACCCGAGACCCTGGGGCTGATGATCTTAGGAGGAGTGTCCCCAATGAAATACAACAGGTGTCGAATGAAATGACGTAGCCGAAAGCCCCAAACCGGGCCGATTTCGAGACACCCTCCATCCTGAGTGCCAAGATCGAAGGGTCGGCCGTGGGTCATTCCTGTGATGTGTCCGGTGAGACGATTCCTGTGAGCAATAGATAGCTAAGAGGTGTGTTTTTATTACTGTTCTTATGGGGTTAGCTATAGGAGGCTTCAGTAGGAGGTTCTGCGAAGAGGCAGCCCGTGCGAGGTGTTTGTGTTCGTCTTCCGCCCGCGCGGTCGCGGTGTCTGCAGGAAGGAGCAGTTCTGTGGGAGCGGATCTGTGGATTGAAACCAGAAACGCCAGGTGAAGCAAGAGATGTGGACAGTGACCTGAACTAGGACCTTACCGGGGTACCGAACTGGGATAGGCTAGTTCGGGTCCTTCAACCTCTGTTTTCCAGCTGCATGGGTGAAACGGATCATGGCTCGTCAGCGCAGTACAAAGCCACCTGACCGGTCGAGCACTTCCCGGTGGATCCCCCTCGACGCGACGGTCTGAGGGTGATCCGCAATGCCTTGCGCGAAGCGGATGAGGTGCGGCCATGCCGTTCTGGTGGCTGTGGGGTGCTTTGACCAGAGAACCAAAGCAGATCCAAACAATTGACAGGTTCAACCAGCAGAGGTTGAAGAGTCCTATAGATCCCTATAGACTATCCTATAGGTACCCCTGTAGGGTCCTAGTTCAGGTCACTTGACCTCTGTTGGAAATACATTGTTTGCGGATAAACCAGTATATAGTTCTTCTCATCTAAGCTGTGACTAAGTCACCGAACTATAAAGGGGATGCAGGCTATGCTGCAACGATCCACAGACCAAAGTGAAGAAGGAAACTAAGCCGCCTAAGCCATGAGAGTCCAGACTATGACCATATCTGACATACCCCTGAAATGAACCACCGAACCCTTGGTTCGGTCCACCAGTCCCATGGAGTCTTTGGGTATGCTTCCGTGCATCTGGTTTTCCGCCACCGGCGTCGTAGGTCGGGCTGAAGAACGCCACCTGGAATGCGGCGTCAGAATTGCCTCTCAGCAGTGAAAAGGAAGCTGCGGGCTGGAACGATTTGAAAGATATTCCTGTCTACATAACTTATCTGCTTAGATAATCTACATAACTTATCTAGTTTTGAAAGATATTCCTCATCTAGCAGATTGCTTTGATAACTTAAGCAGCTTCGTCTACATATAACTTTTGATTTCCTGTCTACATTAGATCCCTGTGAAAACCACACCTGTCTGGGATGGCATGCGAGTCGTTTTGGCCAGGCCAGGCCGTTTTGGCCATCGACATCCGTCGAATTGAGGTACCGGCAGCTGGTGATAGAAGGCGCGCAGGCACATCTGAAGGACGCTTTGGAGATGGGTGAAGCTCAGTTGCAGCAAGGGATGAGCGGTCGCCTTTCTCTCCGCTACGCCAAAACCGGGGTCTACCCGGAAGGAAGGTGCAGTTGACCTGGCGCGGGGGAGCAGTTGATCTGTTGACCAGTACTGTGTCTTTCTTCCGGGGGGTCCGTCCGATTTGGAGGGGGCGTTGATCCGACAGTGCCGCATGGGTAGGCGATCTTCCGTTCGAAACCGATTTTTGTTCGCCGAACTAGCCGATGGTCTCGAGAACTTGAGAGGCTGCTGACTTCCCCCCTGACGTGGTCGTTACACTCACTGAAAGCATCAAGGAAGTGGAACATAGGCCTTCTGGAAGTTCATTTTCCTCTACAATTGAGGTCTGTTCAGCTTCCATGATTGTCTGAGGGAGGGTAGGTCCAGGGTTGGGCAAGCAGATCGAATGTAGTCGCGGGCGCACTGGCCCAAACCGGGCTGGTTGGATGGGGCTGGGCCGGCTGGGCAAGATCAGGCAAAAACAGCGACAACAACTGGGATGATCATGACGAACAGCGGCAACGACAAGAACGGGCAACAAGCACGAAGCAACATCAGCCTGGTCAAAATGGTGGTTTGGCCGTTTGCTTAGCTGATCTTCGTTTGCAAGTATGGCCCCATCAGCTGTTTCTAAGGATATTGAGCACCTCATGGTCGCCATTGAAAAGGCAGAGAAGGAGCCGCGGTTCGTGGTTCGTGGTTGGAAGAGAGGGACCTTCTTCGCCCCGACACCGGCGATGGCGCCGGAAGAGATGATTTCTCCAGTCCCGTGGAGTGTCTTCCCTGGTTGCTTCCAGCCTTGCCAGCAAGGAGAGAGCTGGAAAAGCCTATAGTCAGGCGTTGCACTTTTCTTGGAGTCCTTATCAGGCAATGGTGAGAGTGTGTTGCTCTCGGGAGACCCAGAAAGATCCTCAACCCACTGAGGGTTTGAAGTCTATTCAGCCATAGAATGTTTGGATACTTAGTTTTGTTGGTTGAGACCTATTGGTTTGCCGCATACACTATCACAATTGTTATCTGTCATACATGCCAATTTGGGGGGAGAAGATGTGTTCCATCGCTTGGAACTCCGCTTCGCCAGGACATGGCAGGCATCTCGGACAAAGGGCTGCCTCTCGGCAGGATGGTTCCCCGAACATCCAAAGTCTTGGGATCTCTTGGCACTCACTAAGATGGAAGTGGAGTTCACCACCCTGTCGGTAGAGAGGAAACGGGTCGCCACCCGAAATCGGGGCCATCCACTCATCCACTTCCATGTGATGTGTTAGTCGCAGTGTAGTGGGGGATAGTAAGGGCCATTGTCACATATTCTCACACTTCCTTCTTCTCATCTCCCTTCACAATGTCTCGTTCAAGATCCTTCCAATGCTTCCAACCTCAACAGGCTCCCAAGGCTCCTCTAAGGCACCCACCAGCCCAGGAAAGAGGCCAAAGACCGCTTGGTGACCTGGAAAGAAGCTCAAGAGGCTCTTTGCCAAGCCTGTGCCGCTCGGCCCACCGCGCCCAGGGGCGCCCAGGCTTCTCCGCGGCTCGCACCCCCGGAACCTCTCCGCGGAGCGGAGCGGTCACCGGAACCTCTCCGCGGCGGCCGAGGAGAGCAAGGCGCCCAGCGAGTTGAAAGGCAGCGTGGACATGTCGGTGGCCATCGGCCTGCGCTCCCGCAAGGCGCGGTGCGGAACCTCGCGGGGGGCGGGTCACGCGGGGAGTGTGCGGGGGCGGGTCACGCGGTGTGTGTGGTGATTCAGTAGTACGGTGGAAGCATGGATGGGGACTGCAGGGTGATAAGATGGAACATCGTTTTCACGTGTTTTCACAAAGAAAAGTGATAGCAAGCCATATACCTTGTTCGTGGGTTTGGAACTTGAGGACTACCTGGATACCTTTTGCAGGTGGGTGCGACTTGTTGAAGATGTGCGGAAGGTGCTTTACCATGTGTTACCTCTGAAGGCGTTGCTTTGGGTGCAAACATCTTATAGCAACCAGCACCCTCCAACAGGTCTCCTCTGGAGGCTTTTGCAGACTTATAAGTCGCAGGTGGTGACCTGGCAGTGAGGGTGCTGGAATGGGTCTCTTTCTGAGCCTCGGACTCCAACCCCCTTGAATTCGGGTTACATCCAGCCCCCGACCCCCCCCAACCGCCCCCGGTTTGGGGGGGCCCAGCAAGACCGCGCTTCGCGCCGCAGGTGGCTCTGGCGAAGCAGCTGCTGGCGGAGCATTGCGCCACGGAGCTAGAAGAGCCACTCGGGTAGAGCCGGAGAGCCGGTCCGCGCTGCGCATAAATTGTTCCGGTGGGTGTTGACAGGTGGTCTGGTGGGATTTTTGTCCTGGTTTTGGTGGTGACCGGTGGGTTTGGAAGGTGGTGACTGTGGTTTCTTTATTTTGAGCTGTTTGGAGGAACCGGGAGGTTTCGGTGGTTGTGGTCGGGTTGTTGGTGGTGGCACATCAGCACATGTTCACGGTTTTCACGGGGTTCACAGTGTTCAATGAAGCACATGGTTTAGGTGAAGGATGAGAGAAGGCCTTTATGAATGTTTTGTGCAGTTGGTAGCCAAACCATTCATAAGCTAGCTGGAAAGCTGGAAAGAAATCGGAAACTGTTGCCAAAGTCTGGGGTAAAAACGTTTTGATGTTCACACCTGGCAAATCACCGAGAGATGCTTTGTTGACGATGGTCCTTTGCCCTTTCGAATGGTTGAACTTTGCAGCAGTGGACACTCAACAAAAATCAAACAACTGCTCTCGGAATCTGAAGAGGGCTCTTGACTCCTGACCCAACATATGGATAAATTTGCCCTAGAAGTTCAAAACTCTTAAAACAGATATTATGTTTTGTAGACCCGCAAGAGAGTTTCCTGTACTTGGGTCATGCCAAATATATCCAAATAAAGTCGGACTTCTATAGTTTGGGCCCTTGATCCGTGGTATCGCTCGTCGTGAAGCCCGTCACCCAGGCTTGATACTGCCATGAAAGCAGGAGACCGACGATGACGTGTTCAAACCGGATGAGTTGAGCGATGAGTGCTGATGGGAGATGCCCTGGGAGTCATGTTGAGGATGAAAAAGAATGGTCTTTACCAGGTACCTGACTCGGCAGGTCTGAGAAATGGCGAGCCTGTTCAATGCAGACGACCTGAAGTTGCTCACCTGCATGGTAGGGTTTGGGTCCTGGTGACCTGATTTCGGACACTTCCTGAAAACGTTCAGCCCCTGAAAATATGGTCTTTGGACTTTGAGGTGATGGATTTGCGGTCGAAGAGGTACCATACCAAGCCAGTGGACCAGCTGCCCAACCTTTCTTGGGGGGGAGTTGGTTTTCCCACTAAAGAGGAACAGGCAGAAAAGGGTCAAGCTCTATATATATGTTCCGGTTTACGTCCGAATTCCGACGAAGACTCTGTCCTAACTCCAGCAAAAAGCCATGAAGCTCACGGCCAAGCTGATAGATTCCCTGAACGGTTCTTCCCTAAGGTGGACACTAAGGTGGGCTTGCTGGAAGATTGTTTTTGTCTACAAAGTGGTATAGTTCTTTGGGTCCCATGGTTCGTGTGTCCTGAATGGTCAAACCCCCTCCCTGCAGCAAAAGCAGAAAGGCTGCAGGGATCTCGGAACACCTTTAACCAAGCTGTCCTTTGTCCAGGCATGATCTTCTCTAAAACTGGTCCTTCAACCTCCTTTGCTGCAGACATGGAACCCGAGAATTGACCGGTGAAAGACCATTTTCTTCTACAACCCAGTGGTTTTAGGGTTCCATGTTGCAGGGGGTTCCACTTCTTGCCATTGGCGACTTTTCTTGGTCAAGTCCACCACCAGCAAGCACCAGCAGGGTAGGATGGGAAAGTCCCTGCAGGAGATGTGGAGAAGCTTGCTGCCGTCCTGGCGGTTCCTAGATTGACTTGGAGGGGTGGATGGAAGTTCGTGTTCTCTGCAACTCGTCTTTGGACATCTTCATTGATCAAGCCCCGCGGTTGGTAGTTTGCTATGGGTTGATCCTATAGTGGTCCCCAAATCGATAGAATCGAAACGGTGTTCAGTACATGAACGGATTTTACTGTTCCGAATCTATCAGGGGGTCTTCTACCCAGACACTCCATCAGACTGCCATATATGCCTACATTGGGGTGGTTTTGGGGGGTCAATGTAGGCATATATGGCAGTCCCATGGAGTGTCTGGGATATAGTTTGGAGCCATAGCAATTGGAGATTAAAATAAGAGTGCTTTCTTGGAGAGGATGTCACCCGCTTGGATGGGATCAGGAGTGCTTTCTTGTACTCAACCACCCCTTCAATTCATGTGGCTTCTGATTTAGATCGTGGTTATTTTTTCGCCAGCATAAAAAAGAACCGTTTGCAATAAAAAACAAGAACACACTCCAGCCTCTAGCATTAACAAAAGAGAACCGTCAGCGGTCAGCATAAGAGAAAAAACTCATCTTCCCATTGGGGGGGGGGGCAGGGTGATGTTCAATCAATCTTCCCCTCTTCGCATGGTCCGAGACTCAGAGGAAGGTCGAAATGGATGAAATCTGTTGAAGAAGAAAACGCCCTGGAAGAGACCCACAGTGAAACCTGAAAAACCACTGAGTTGTAGAAAGGAGTCTTCCAAAAGGCCCATGTTCAGGTTCCATGTGGTTCTCTTCCAATGGGTGTATGGGTGTATGATCAGTCATAGGCAGCCGTGGTCCATCTGTCCCCGACTTCGGCACAACCGAAGCCGCGCAGCAGAGCATGAAGAAGGTCAGAGAACATCCAGGGCGTGCATATTTAAGATCTACCAGGACCCCCAAGGCAAGGGGTGGTTATTGGACACCTCTTAACTGCTAAGGGCCTATGAATAGACACCCTTTGGACGGTCTTGGAGTAGGTGTTACACTTCCGGGGACAGAAAGTCGCCACGTTGCTTCAGGGATTCAAAACCATTACAATCAAGTTGGGCCAAGGAAGCCGAACCCTAGAAGTCCAAAGACTATACTTTTCCATAGTGAAGTAAAGGACAGTCCCTTTCAGGCACCCTATTATAGACCATTCTTTTTGTAGTCATTGACTCCCAGGGCAAACGTTTTGGACGTCGAAGTTCTCGATGCGTTCTCTCGAAGACGCCGTCGAAGCGGCGGTTCAGCCAGCCCCTCGGCCACGGTCGAGCTCGCACCGAGCTCGTGCGGCTTCGGCCAGCGAGTTCATCAGGACTTGGCGGAGAAGAACGTCTTGGCCGCAGAGGACATGAAGCGTGGGAATGAGTGCCACGGTAGGCGTTGTCATGCGTTGTCCGGGTGCGTGCGTCCCGGTGCGTATGGCTGGTACCGGTGGGAGCCGTGGGTCGAGGATGAGTGGGTTTGGCTACTTGGTGCCAGAAGAAACCAATGTCCGTGCCCTCCGACTCACTGACATGGGCCAGTGGAGCTCTCCACGTGTTTGTGGAGGAAACTCACTGGTCTTACGCCTGTTCATGTTTCCACTTGCATGTGACACTCATATGGGATTGGACTGGACCTGCCGCCCCAGATTCCAGACCCCAAAAGGCATTAACAAAAACACCGGTCAGACGCAACGACGGCGGTCACAGAGAGGTCATTGTTTGGGGTAAACCCGATGGTCGGGGTGTGTCTTCCGTCGCCGAGGGGCGTCGCCATCAGCGCTAGAAGTAGCGCTGTTTCGATCCACTTCTTCCGGTCGAAGACGTGTTGGGAGCGCAGCAGGTTGGCAGAACGGTACCACGAGCAATCCAGGATAGTTTTTAAGCACAACGGTCTATTTTGGCGGGTGCAGAGCCTGTTTTCAACCATAAGGGTCTGAACAGAGGTTGGGTGGCCAGTGATCACCCAGTCAGAGCCCCCAGTCAGAGGTGGTTGATGGACACCCCTTGACCTCTAAGGGGCTATGGATGTCGAGACCCTTTTAGGGGGCTCTGGTAGACAGAGATCGTCATCAGATCCAGTGTACACCTGAAGACATGCAGCCAAGCACGCCTGGGGGACCCTCGAGCGAAGCAGGGCACCTATGAAGGCTGGTAGATCCCTTTGGTCGTGGAGAGACTCACCAGAGAATCAATTGAATGAGTGGGACGAGGGGGGCACAAATCCTTACTATCAACACACAAATTAGTGGGCAATGGGAGCACTCCAAGAACTAAACATGGACGTGGAAAATGGATGAACATGGTCACTTAGAGTCGAGGCCTGAAGTCCCTTTACAGGCATGCTTAAAGGTGCATGTCCTGTCCATGCTTTCTTTCGAGGTCTACGGTCTACATGCAGCCCTGCATGAAACCCTCCTCATCAGGTCATCAGGTCGCATGGTGATCATCTGACTCCCGAAAAAGCGACGACCACTATGCACTCATGGGTGCATATGCAGTGCATATAGTGCTTGATGTTGTTCCAACTCCATCCCCCAACCAGACGTCAAGTGACCTGAACTAGGACCCTACAGGGGTACCTACTAGGACCCACAAGGGGTGGTTAATGGACACCCCTTAACCTCTAAGGGGCTATCAATAATCACCCCTTAGGGTGTCCTGGTATAGAATAGTCTAATAGGATAGTCTATAGGGTTCTTCAACCTCTGCTGGTAAAGCAGAGCACCTCCACCCCAGCAATAGTGCAGCACGAAGTAGATTTCACCCTCAGTAGACTCTTGAGTAGATTTCACCTCCACCCCAGACATTACGACTGGAAGTCCTCTTCAAGCTTGGGAGGGGTGCAATCTAATCAGGGGATATCCAGAGATCTACCAACAAAAGAGTTTCCATCTGATAGGTCTCCCAATATCTCCGGCTTCGTAACTTCGTGACCGGCCGCGCCCCACTCAGGCGCTTGAAGGCCATGCAGAACGCGCAGAAAGCCTTGCAGGAGACACGTCGTGGCGCGGACCGCGCGTGGACCGCGTTCGCCCCGCACGTTCGCCGGACGTGACCTGTCTCCGTCGACCGGATGGATGGATGTCGCGTTGTGAAGAGGAACGGAGGATGGTCCAGTCCATTGGAGAGCGAAGTGACTTGACATGGCCTATTCCATCACTGGCCAGGAGCTTCCTAGTGACCGAACTGTGGAGTGGAGCGAAGGTGACCGAACTGACAAGCTTGACCTCGTGACCGAACCAACCAGGGGATGACCGGTCACTGGAAAGATCCAGATGGTATGACATGTTTGTGGTCAAATAGCTCTGGAGGCTGGTCTGATCATGGAATATCTCTCGACAGTTGGACTGGTCTTCAATATCTTCAACAACCTGTATACATGCAGACGTCCTGTACATGAAGGTGGGCGGGAGAATTTCAAAATTAAAAGGGGCCTAAAGGGGCCAAGGATCTTACACTATATACAAGACATTACAAGACCAGGTCGGTCGTCGATGTTTCTTTCAGGGTGGAACGGACCGAGTTTTCTCAAGTCGTGGTTTCGTCTCGGCTCGGCGGACGCCGTTTCGTCGACGCCCATGCACTTCCGCCATCGAGTTCATGGTCTTACCCAAGAGTGATGGTTTTCGACGAGCGAACGAACCACAGGTCGACCTGTGATTGACAAGTCGAACGGAAGGGAACCAAAACGGCAGGATCCTCCGCCACGACCCCTCAGTCCACCGCACCGCGAATCGGCGAATCTCCGGCGAAGCCGACCGCGGGGTCGAGGGAACGTTCCGCCACAGAACGCACTGGTCGCACTGGTGCTGCGGCGGTCGAATGGGAGGCCGGGAGGGGACGCATGCGCATCGCCTGTGACCGGGGGGGGGGTGGCAGGAGGGCCTCAGCTCCAACAGTTTGGATGCCTTGCGCAGCGCCACGTCCGGGGCTCCCAGAGCGCGCAGAGCGCGCCGCGGAGATCTGCGCGGAGCGGAGATCCGGCCATGGGAGAGGGAGAGAGGGAGAGAGGGCTGAGCTTTAGACCCATCCAGTGCGTGGATGTGACAGGGGTACCCCCAACTCCTTCCTCCATGGATCTAACGCCCCGGCAACAACTGCTGGAGATCGCCCGCCCGCCTGCGGATGACTACTCGACCCTGGACTACTCGACCGCCTACGCTCGATCAGAGCTTGAAACGTGTTGGACCCGGTCCAGTGGGTGTTCCTCAGCATCTCCGACAGCTCCCCAGCAGCTTAGTCCAAGCGACCTCAGTCGATGCTTCGATGGGGGATGAGGATGGAGCTCAGATGACCCAGAGATACGCATGGTGCAGCTGAGTACGGTGCCGATGAGTACGCCTGTACATTCTTTGCAACCATCTTTTTTTAAGGAGCAGCGCAAGAACCTGGTTCGTGCCCTGGTTCAAAGTTGGCTTAGGTTCAAACATGCGTCACACACGGAAGCTGACAGCGAAGCCAAGATCAAGAATCGAAGTGTAGTGCACAAAGCCCAAACCTGCTTCTGTGCCAAAGACTGCTCCAGTAGCTTCTAAGGACAGGCGCCAGTGTTTGCCCCTTGTCTTTTTCCACCAAAACCTTGTCGGGCTGGGCGGGCATACTCTATGCTTCTTTCTTTGATTTGTCCATTCAAGCCTCTGAAGTTTGCACAGAAGCATCACGAAGCCAGAGAGAGAGAGAGATTTTCTATGTGAGGTGCCGAAGACTGTTTTTCAGTGGACAGTCGAAATAGAAATAATGTGGGACACCGTTTGACCTAAAACATCCAGAAATGGCAGCTAACTAACTATTATTTGGTATCTCAGCTTTGGGACTGCGCAAAAGCGCTCCATCCAGTTGGGTCTATGTTGTTAATCCAGCGAGAAAGTGTTGTTTCTCAGGGATTCAGAGGGAGTCCGGAGTCTGGGAATGGAAAATCAGAGAGAGAGAGAGAGAGACAGAACCAATTTTGACATATTTTGACAATCCGATTGACTAAGACCCTTTTGACCCCTTGTACATGCCAGAACACCTTCCTGATTGTATGATGCCTGCTATTCGAATCAACACCTGTACAAATGTGACTGTACAAGCACACAAGTCAGACGTCAACCAACAAAAACGCCTGCGAGATATTAAGTTCCTTGGCTGAGCTCTTTCTTGCACGGTGTCCCTGGTCTCATGGCACATGGAGAAAAGCTAGGTCGATCATACGCAGCTCTCAGCAGCGCAGCAAAGCACGGAACATGGGCAGCAAAGCATGGAGCTGGGATGTATCAGAAACAACCGTCTTGGACCGCCAAGCTTATGCCTTGGGGAGTGCCTTGGGATGGTTGGGCTGGTTGATGCGTTTGAGGGGTCGAGATCTGGGACACCTTCCAAACAACCCCTTGGCGACGGAACTTAGACCAAAACCCAGTCATTGTGTTTCTCTATCAGCACTACACATATATTATCTCCCAGCTCCGGCGGCCGCGCTTGGGGCTCATGGTCTTAAAAGGCTCCAGCGATGGCACCAGCGGGACGATAATGATTTACCGCGTGTCGGTGGACCAGACCTGTCCAAAGGAGGTGACGTACGGCACGCCACCTCTGAGGCGGAAGCCCCGAAGCCCACCAAATCTAGTCAAAATCAGCCAAAGATGTGCTGGCTCTACAATAATGTGTTGCCCACGGATGAGGCATGATGGGGCGCTTTTGGTTGGCTCTCAACCTGTCACCTGCCTCCCCGTGAGTTCCCTTCGCCGAGGGAAATGGCGGAGGAGGCGAAGCTCCAAGGGGCTACGCGAGAGGAAGCCGAGCGAAAGCTCCAGGCGCGTCGATGTACGGGGAGCGGGGCACCACGGTGACTGGAAGGCGCCGGACCCTTCGGCTTTGGCGAGCGATGGCGCGTGCGTTTGAATAGGGAAACCACCTGGCTCAATGGTTAGATTGGTCTAGAAATACCCCTTCTTTCAGAGGGTCGGAACGGCTGGGAGGTCTCCCGAGTTTACACACCGATTTGGAGACGTGTTCATGATTGGGCCGTAGCAGCGTTGGTGGTGTTCCTTGCGAAGGTAATCCGCAGGATACCACCAGTTTGGCATTCGATCGGTATGTTGTCCAAAGGTTTTTCCGAACCAGGTCGACTGGGAGGGTGAGCGGATCGAGTGATGAAGCGACAACAAAATGGTGGAATCCGATGAACCATCCACAGCGAACACTGAAAGACGTTTTGTGGGAGAAACCAACGGGGAGAACACGAGTGGTTGTGGCTGCGGAAGAGAGGGGTTGGTTCAAACAATGGAGGAGGACGCGCATTGTTTCAACACGTTTTTTGCTTTCCTCTTGAGTAGACTTAAGTATCATGACGCCTTTGGTGTCCTGATTTGTTGTCCAATGTGTTATAAGTTTGTTGACCGGGGGCGGGGTGAGAAGTGGCAGGGGAACAGGGTGCAATTAAGTGTAGGTGGGTCAGTGATGGGCCCGGTATAGTCATGCAGATTAGATATCACCCCTTGATTGGACGTGTTCGCTGGCAGTTAGCTACTCAGCTGAATTAAGGTTCTGCGGTTCAAGGCTGAGACAAAGCATTGTTTTCAGCGCTCATTCTGTTTGCTAAGCTGGATGTCCAATGTTTGCCTTATGATTTGCCTGTGTGTGTCTGTTGCTTGTATACTAGTTGCTATCCCGCAGATCGGTTTGCGAGATGAGGGATTGAGCGGATTCAGCCTTCTTTGAATTGCGCAACTCGTCCTTTTCGAGCTACCCTTTCGACCAGAACCTCCAACAAAACACTTGCGCTCACCGGCTCACCTGAAGCTTGCCCACACCAAGACCCTAAGACCCATCGATCGTCGCTACCAAAAAACCGCATCTAGCTGTACGGCCAGTGGTACGGCCCTCTCTTCCGCCCGCGTCCGAGGAGTTGGAAGCCGCCTCCGAATTGGAGGCTGCCTTCCAGGACGGGACGGCGGCGCACACGAAGAGTTGGACGTGACGCGTCGACCGCGGGCTGGAGAGATGAAAGGTGCTTTTGGGCGCACCAAAGGGTTCACATGATGGGTTGAGTCGAAGAATTGTCCTACTGCCGTTTTTTTTTTGAGGTGTCCATCTTCGGAAACGCAGTCAGTAAAAATCATGCTGCTCTTGGGCATGAGGGTGTGTGAAGCTAATCTCACTGAAGCACATCACACGAGCCAACCCTTTGGCCAAGAGCAGGCTCAATGAATGAGTACATCATTTGCCATCGTAAGCAAATTGTCCGGCAAGAGAAATTGTCCCGGGAAGAGACACCAAACAGTTTGTTTACCTGATGGTAATGAAGGTGGAGATCACGGTGATGGTGATGGTTCTGGTGATGAAGGTGGTGGTGATGGTGATGGTTCTGGCGATGAAGGTGGTGGTGATGGTGGTGAAGGTGGTGATGGTGGATGGTGGATGGTGATGGTGATGGTGCCGCTGGCCGCTGGAGATGGTGGTGGTGATGGTGATGGTGCTGTTGGAGATGGTGGTGGTGATGGTGGTGATGAGGGTGGTGATGAGGGTGGTGATGAGGGTGGTGATGAGGGTGGTGCTGGGGGTGGGTGGGGGTGGGTGGGTGGGGGTGGTGGTGGGTGGGGGTGGGGGGGGGGGGGGGGGGGGGGTGGACGTGGGTGTGGGTGGGGGTGGCTGGTGCTGGTGGTGATGGTGATGGGGTGATGGTGATGGTTGGTGGCGGTGGCGGAGGCGGTGGTAGTGGCGATGGTGGTGGTGGTGGTGGTGGCGATGGTGGATGCTGATGTCGTTGGTGGATGTTGATAGTGGTGATAAGGTCTACGTCCAGGTCCAGAGGTGGAGCACAAAGCACTGCGCCTGCACTTCGAGGTCCACAAAGTGCAGCGCCTGCCACGAAATCTGCACCTCAAGGTGGTGAGAGCACTTCCAGGGACAACATCAAGATTGCAAAACACAGCTTTCGCTTGAGAGGTGCTCCGATGTCTGAAAACGAGCCACATGTCCAAAACTCACGACTCACCGCGCCTGCCACGAAATCAGAGCTTGCCAAAGACCTCCGCCATGTCCAAAGTGCTCCTGCCGCTGCCACGACATCCGCACATCGACGTAAAACCACTCCGGTCTCCTGCACCTATCACAAAAGTCGACTTTGCACAAGCGCAACGATAAGTGATCCAAGCCCCAAAAATCTGCACGACGCCAGTCTCGAAGAGCACTCGCCGCGGCCCACCAGATTCTGCGAGCTTGCGCAGTCGAAAAATTCGAAACCTCGAGGTGGATGATTGCACTGTAAATAGCAGCGAATTAGCCGCACCCGGCCCGGCCGTGAGCACCTCCGATCAGAGACCCGTCTTTCACCCTTACTGTAAGAACCCCTAGTGTGGACACACTGTTTGGAGAAGAAGGGATCTTAGCTTTTCTGGTTTCCTTGTGGCCTTATCAAGAAAAGTAAACAAGCAGGCAGCGAAGACAGCTCCAGCGAGTCGGAGAAGGAGAGCAACGGCGGCAAGAACGAGGACGTGGCGGCAGACGGAGCTCCGGCGGTGCGAGTGAAGCAAGAGCTGCCAGAGACCCCTGACAGAGTGAAACAGGAGCCCGTCGACTCGTTATTTTAACGTCCATGGATGATTTTGCACGATCAAAGTAACTGTGCATGAAATGAAGGTCTTGGTACCTGACAAGCAACAACTTTTGGACACAGCCGTTGAATGGAGGTGGATTCCAAAAATTCAAAGTTGCTCAGGTGCCTGAGAACGAATACACCGAAGAAACAAGCATTATCCGATGGATCAGACATTCATAGGCCATCGCACTATAGTGAGACTTCTGTTGGCGTACTTTTGGTGCATTGTCAAGTTGTGGGGAGCAAAACGCAAGAGGCCGTCGGCCCTCCCATGAAGAAGTGCGTCTGGTGCAAGGGCTCATTCCAGTGCTGGAACCGGTCCAGTTCATCCAGCACATGATCGAAGCCCGCAACATCAAGGACATCGGGGGGCCTCGCATTGCAGTGAGCGGGTCTTCGGCTGGCCTTCTTCCCGCGATCATGCTAGTGTCCAGCAACGACAAGCGATGAACAGAGCTGGATCAGAAAAAAGGTGCTGTGCCGCGGTAGCTCACGCGAACTTTTGTGCTAACATATCTGCTCCTCGTAAACGTAAAACTCCTTGATCTTCGTTCGAGCTCTTATATCTGGGTCTTGATCAAGAGAAAGTGACCGCTAATGTGCTAGCCTAAGGGCCCTTCTGTTGTTCTTAGTTTTCTTTCTTCTTTCTTCTTCTGTCTTCTTCCTTCCTTCCTTTCTTTCTTTCTTTCTGTCTTTCTTTCTTTCTGTAGGTTTTCTTTCCTTCTTGCTTTATTTCTTTTTGTGTTTTCTTCTTCTTTTATTTTTCTTCTTCTTCTTCTTTTTCTTCTTCTTTCTTCTTGTTTTTCCCTTGTTTCTTACTTTTATTCCTCTTCTATGTTTTTCTTTCTTATGTTGTCTTCTTCTTTCTTGCATTGTTTCCTCTGTCTGCTTCTTTCTTTTTGTTCTTTCTTCTTATAGTAGCAGACTAGCAGTTAGAATTTGTAGTGAGGGAAAAAACTAGGAACCTAGGACGTCCGAAGCGAAAAAAACGTCGCACATAGAATAAACATGCCCACATAGAATCAACAAACATAGAACTGAAGTGTGTTTCTTCTAGTTTTCTTCTATGTTGTTTTGTTACTTTCTCGTGTTTTTTCTTCTTTTCTCTTATTCTTTCACATGTGTGTTTTCATTTTTTCTGCTTCTGCTTCACCTTCTGGTTTTTTTTGGGTGTTTTGTCCTGCTTTCCTTTTGCTTATTCTTTCTTCTTCTGCTTTGCCTTCTTGTTTGTTCCTACCCATGTGTTTTTTGCCTTCTTCTTCTTCTTCCTTTTTCTTCCTCCTTTTCCGTTGTTTGTCAGAGTCCGATTGTTTATGTGTTTCCATGTGTGTCCTGGCAAGTGAGTTCATCTGCCTGTGCATCCATGGATGAAGTCTGTTCTTTCCAAGCATCCTGCAATTTCAGCATTCAAACACGCTGCAGTTGGGAAGTTTGAGCCGAACACGCTGGCAAATTGGTATCCTTGTGTCATCATTGCTTTGATTCTGAGTCACAGCCCTGAGCAAAACCACTGCGTTGGCGGATACAATGCTTGGAACCTGGGCAATCCATACGATGGCACACAGATGCCTCATTGGGTTCATTAACATTTTCTTGGACTCGCAAGGCTACACAGGTGGTTACTGGTTTGATTTCGACAGTTGCAGTGACAATGCAGCCTGGCTCGTTTTGAGAAGTGCAACGCATGCCCCCGGCCAGCCGCGTGGCCCTTTTCATGTAGCACTGTTCTTTGGTGTTATGTGGGGCCTTTTTGCGTTTTGGTAGGCTGCTTTGGGCCGCTGACAGGGGTTGGGTGTTTCCAGTTCCCAGATTCCGTCTTTCCCTTCCCTAGCGTCTTTTTTTCCCAGGATCATTTTTGGGGTTCCCACAATCGGATTTGATTTCCTTCGGTGATTTTGGGTTCCCGCAATCGGGTTTTGGGTTCCCTCGGTGATTTTGGGTTCCCTCCACGGTATTTAGGGTTCCTGCCGTTATGTCCCTTTCCTTTTGCGGTGCTTGCATCCTGTAAGCAACTGCGCTAGCAGATGGTGCCTTCCCAAGGCCAAACTATCCCCGTCACTACTTCCAATATTCCTTGGTTGTGCCTCAGTCGCTTTCCCCATGTCAAACTAGCTCCGTCACTACTTCTAGTATTCCTTGGTTGTGTCCCAGTCGCTTTCCTTTTGTCGCCTTTTGTCCCATACGTAGTCATGCCAGTTGCTTCACGCTCTGTGCTTCTTGTTTTTGGTTTCTATAAGGATCTTGTTTCCAATCGGTGACCATGTAGCTTCTTCCGCGATGTTTTTTCTCACTTGTTGCTTCTTGCGTTGCCCGGATTTTGTGCGGGCATCCTTGTGGATGGTGTTGTTTGTTTTTGTGATGACTTTTGTGATGACTTGCGTGGATGGGATGGTGTGCCCTGCTGCGAACGGGGGTGTTAAAATAGCGGGAGGGCGCAAAGCGTGCGATGTTTCTAAATAAGCCCGTTTGCTTCGTGGTGTTCTTCTTCCTGGCTTCGTTTTCGTTTCTTTAAGGCCCCTTTGCTTTTATGTCGTCCTGAGGTTGGGAGTAGCAATCACATTTATTATTGGTAATACGGTGCTAGTGTAGTAGTATTAGCAGTAGTGCTACTGGTAGTAGTAGTAGTAGTAGTAGTAGTAATTAGTAGTAGTAGTAGTAGCTCCGAACATACGGAGCCCCGCTGACCAACAAAGTTCTGTGGCAACGGCACCGAAGACCTGCACAGACTGAGCATTGGCCACGAATCTACCAGGCTCTCAAGAAGAGCAAGAGATGCGGCGCCAGCCACGAATCTACCTGTGATGCAAGACATATCTTGCCTGCAAGGTAGGCCATGGTCCCATATCTTGCCCCATCCCGCTCAACCCCGGCGCTTTGATTTGTGAGCACGTCAGGAGGCGGATCGGATGGAAGCTCAAAAGCCGGGGACCCCAAAACCGACCGCCGGCGTGGTGCTTCACTATGGCAATGTTCACCCTTTTCCTACTTGCCGTAAAGAGGTTGAAGAACCCGAATGAAACATTCATATTACAGGTCTATCCCAGTGCACGGTAAACCAGGTGAGTCTAGGGTACCTTTACAGGTCACTTAGCGTCCTCGACAGGTGGGATGACTTGATCCCAGTGACGCCAATCTTCTTCGTTCTGTTTCGTTGAAAGCATCCACTGGTGCTTGGGGCACCTCGGACCTCTACGAGCCCGACCAAAACGAGCGGTTTGCACCATGGTCCTTTCGGAAACGAGAGGTGACCCGGAAACTGGTTCATGCCTTCACCTATCCAGATGGTTTTGGCTCGTGGAAGGTGGGCTCGTGGATGGTTTTGGGTCTCATGTACCGGAATCAGTTCCATGAAAAGAGATGCCACCCTCCCTTCAGTTGGAGTTGCAGGAGTTGCAGTCATTTCACTTCCGATGTAGGAACTTGAATCTTCCGGCTGGGGTCCAGCCTTGTTCATAACTGCGAAGAGGGGGTGATATTGAGAGGGGCAGCTCCTTTCACCAGCAATACCCCTAATGATAGTTCCCATATCATGGCATTTGCAGTGGCATTTGCCATTCCATCAAAAGACTGTTCTTATTGCATCGGGTTTGTTGAATTTGTTTGCAGAGGGGAGCATTGGCTGATTCAGAAGCGAACTGGCGTTTCAAACACGCCCTTTTCCGCGCTGGTTCTTGACTTCCCCAGCTCCTTGCAGTAAAACCAAGGATCGCTTCGTTCGAACACCTCCAAGCGGCCTCGGACTCGGTCGGCTGCCAACCGGGTCGGTGGTCTCGCAGGACGGTCCTGCCTGGTGAAGCCAATGCACGACCGATGTGAGGGGCGGCCAGGCAGTGAGGGTGGCCAGGCGAATCGATGCGTTTGGAAGGGACCTCCACTTGGGTGCATGACTTTATACTAATTTAGTAGTTAAGAAGCTATAGTAGCTTGGAGGTCATCGCTACTAGGCTGGAGGCCATCGCTACGTTCGTAGCAAGAAGCTACTAGTTAAAACAAGGACATCGCTACTACCGAATCCTTCAGCCCGACCCCTCAGGGGCCGGACCCTTCTATGATCTTCTAGGTGTTGCTTAAGGCCCGGGTTCTTAGGGTAGTAGCTACGGTATAGTTTAGACATCTTTAGACTTAAAACGTATGTTTTGACTCCTGGGATAGCCCACCATGGCAGTCGTTTGTCCACCAGATTCCACCACTACCATCTGGTAACGAATGACTCAAACTTGGGCTGTCCAGGATAGATGCTGTTTCTCAGAGGTATACCCTCAGTCCACTCACAAAGAACATTTAAAGTTTCAAGGACTCCCTCCTGGTTTCCGAGTTGCGAACTGATCCGGCAGGTTCGTGGGACCAAACGCCCAGACACTCCAAGCAGGGGCCCAGACAACGTGCCTGCGAACGGTGTGCTGTCCCGGAGAGTGAAGAGAATCATCTTCAAACGTTCCGAGGCAGAGAACATCGGACATCTTGGACTGCAGTTTTTCTCCAGCCACTGCTGATCCCCATTCGAGCGGGTGTCATCAGCTGCTTCCTTGCAACACCAGCAGGTATTTTTGTTCGGAGAGAGCAAGCATCAGGTATACCTCTCCCAGACACTTCATGGGACTGCCAGCAAATATGCCTACATTGACCCTCCTGGCACCACCCCTGGCCGTTTCTCGACGGTCCTATACCAGTCCCATAGGTCGTGTCTGGGTCTTATTTCATCCCAATTCACTTCGAGAGGGCTGGGGGAACTGGCTCGGTCGCTAGTTGTGGTGCGTCTGGGTATAATTCAGGTCTCGCAACGAGCTCGAACTTGGCTCCGGCTCCGCCTTGGCGCGCCAAAACGAGTCCACAGAACGGGTCGGATTTAGGCCCAGCAGCCCTGAGGAGTCCGACCGGTCGGGCACGACCTGAGACTGCTAACTGCCAACAGGCCCAGGGCAACGACCCCGAAGGAGGACAGACCAAAAAGCTCATGGGTTGGGTGGCTCCCCCTATTCCAACACGCACCCCAAACAAGGGCTGGCGTGTTCTGGTCGTGTTCTTTTCGTCCGACGCTGTGTCCGTGCAAAACCATGCGAAAAACAGTTCTGTCCAAAGCAGTTCGACGCCCATACCGTGGTCCATGTTAATTGTTATGGAATGTTACAGATCGCAAGATGATGAGTTGACAGCATGATACATGAGGGTACTAGTACTAGATATTTATAAAAACAAAATCGTTGGAACTTGGAAACGTCCAAAAGAACCAGAAGAGAACATGCCATGGTATCTCCGATGCTAGATATGGCCCACTCGAATGGGGAGACTTATGTCGATCCGATCGCCGAACATCAGCCGCAGCAGCTTGGGGTCGATCGCCAATGTGCTCTGCCCCCTGCGACGAACGCCCGCTCGGCGTCGGCCTGACGAAGCGAACGTGACGAAAAGCACCGCTGCGGTGTTTGGCCGGTCTTGAGGGTCCCCCAAAATGGATATGTCTCCATGGTATACACCTGCTTTATCATCTGGTTTTTCAGGTGTCAGTGGAGGTAGAGACAGTTGAACATGCTCGGGCCCGAACTGATCTTTCAGCTAAACAAGTCTGAAGGGACCTTGACAGAAGGGGGTCTTTCTTTTAGGAGGTCTGACTAGAGACCGCTCCTTTTGACTGCTTTTTCCTTGCAGTCGTGCATGTATAGGCTACGTCACTCACATGACCAAGCAATGCAATGGAAACATGGTGTGAATGGTTGATCCAGAGATTCCAGTTCGCGAAGGACTGCTCGACCTATGATCGCGCACGGACCTGTTGGGAAACTTCACTGGGGGCACGATGCTCTCTCAGAACAGACGTTAGTGCAATCAACGAAATCCCAAGCAGATCTTGGCAGCAATATGTCATTGAAGATATCAGAAGTTCCTCCATATTCCTCCCAAAAAAAAGCAAATATGGATCTGTTGCCCGCTGATAACCGATATCCAAATATAGGACACTATTGATCTTTGGAGTGTCCAAACCGCTGCGAAAAGCAGTGTCAAAACCCTCCAGTTCGGAGGGTCCAATGCTTAGGGATGTAATGGTATGTCTTGAAGACAACCTGTCATAGGTCCGACTGTCCACCGGGTGATTCCGCCGCCCCGCGACGGAACTTGATGCCAACAAGCCCACAAGATGGCTGGATGTGGTGTGAGTACTGCTTTAGGAGCAGTATGGAATACTGGTATGAAGATATTGAACATGTGTTCTGTGTTGATTGGGTTGTTATTCACCTGATATCTTGATATATATATATATATTTCAAAAAAGATAATCTTTAGCTCAATGTAGAGAAAGCTTTGTTTTTGAATGGGACCCCCAACGACTCCTGCAGGTGACGGAGAGCGGAGCCAGCGGAGCGGATTCCTGGCGGCTTGGTCGAAGTCCAGTCGCGACGACTGCTCTGTCCTGCTCTGTCGGGTCCTGGGGGTCCTGAAACCGAACATTGAGTGGTTTTCTTGGACTTTTGAGGGATCCCTGGTACCTTCTACTTGAAGGTACGTGAATGGACGAACTGGATCCCTAGGGTAGGATCCCTACAAGTCCAAGTACCTTCTACTTGAAGGTACGTAAAGGGAGGGACTTGGATCGATGACTCATCTCCAAATCTGGATTTGGTCAGTTCCTGACCCCCTAAAAGCCCCATGGTTGGATGATGAGCCGTTCTCTCTGTCCCTGTTTGGACTGTTTGGGTGTACACGTTCCTGCAGATTGACTGTGGACGAAAACCAGTCCATGTGAAGGGTCTATATGTTCATGGTTTGTGTGCTCTTTTTGTAGGACGGATAGTGGCGGTTCATGGCAGGTCTCACCAAGATGAGACGTTTTCGGTTCCTGAAAGCCATCGGTTCATACAGGAGATTCAATGCAGAAGCAGTTTCCAACAGTCCTTCTGGTTCTACGAATGATGGACACAGTCATGATTCAATGCACCAATCTTACTTCAAGACGGGGTCTTTTTGTCCATCCCAGGTGGCTGTAGGATTTCTTGCTTCAAGTGATAGGCGTCCATCCTATTCTTTTGAGCCACATCAATCCACTCTCACCAGTGGATGGACACTATGCCACCGCGCTTGGCGCTGGTGGATTGATTTTGGGCTTTGTAGGGAGGGAACCACAATCTGTTCCAACGTCATTCGAGCAGTATGTGCAGGTCGACCAGGTGTTGTAATGTGTGTCACTGAGGTGTTGTCCAGTCTGAGGCTTCATCCCTCCGGGTTCGGGTCCGGGAGGTCGAGTGGAGGGTGAAACGCTGGGCATCGACCCAAGTGAAGCCGCTACTTGGCCCTTTACAGTTAGTTGGTTGATAGAGAGGATACCCTCAAGTGTACAACCAATAGGTGAATGGTACCAAAGTGACCCATCTATTCTTCCCAAGTACGGACACCACTGAGTGAAACCGCTACTTGGGATCCCATCAAGTCGTAGACCTCTTTCGTTGGCGCAAGCTCAGCTCAAGAAAGACCAAGGTACACCCACACAGCCCAGTGGTTCAATTGGGGGGCATTGCTGGGTGTTGCTGGGTTTTCCATATTCATGAGGAATGTTGGCAGGGGCCATGTGTTTCTCTTCAGTGTGGGGGGAATAGACCTCATCCTGGAGTAGATAGAAGAGGAACCAATTTATACCAATCCTATCGTCTTGTTGGTATTCCTATTCTTCTATCCAGTCCAGGATGACTACAGCCACACTCTTCCAGTCCTTCCTCCGAGGCCGCAAGCCGCCGAGGCCAATTGGTGGGTGAACTGGGAGCCGCCATGGGTTGTCGGTATGGGTTGTCAGACGAAGCACGAAGCGGTCATGCATGGTACACTCCCTGGAACTCCACATGGTTACGTGGGTGGCATGACGCCTTGGAAGACCATGACGCCTCACTAGTTACAAACAGGTGGTGAACTCCACGTAACCATGTTAGTTCTAGGGAGTGTAATTGGAGAACTTTGTAGCTGAATTGGGGGAACAGACAACAACGTTGATATACAAAGCCATTGAACCCATGGTATCAGCAACCAAAGGTTGGGCGATGTCTTCCCATACTGGGTCCTAGTAGGGTTCTCAATGTCTCATCATGTTCAATATATGATCCTTTCATTCAGTTGAATCGGCCGGAAACTGGTGATGCAACGTAACACCTTCATAAATACAATGTAATGTATATATCCTATACTAGGACCCACTGTCGGGGTGGTTAATGGACACCTCTTAACCTCTAAGGGGCTATCAATAATCACCCCTTAGGGTGTCCTGGTATATATAACATATATCACAGTCATAATATATCAACGTTGTAACATAGACCAAACACAAAAAGAACTGCAACTGCTTCCAGGTGCCTCAGGCTGGCTATGCGCCCGCAGCTCCAACCAGAGCCTCAGGCAGGTGGAGCAACGGTGGGTGACCCGCGTAGGAGAACCACCATGGATCGACGCATGTAGTGGTCCCCAAAGTAGGTGTGTGGTGTCCAAGGCATGTTCTACGTGGGGATCCACGAATTTCTATCTCTGACAGGGGGTCCAATACCACAGACGCAAAATGCATGTGGTTAAGCAGGTGATGGTGATAAATGTGGGTTGTGATGTCACGACTATAAACTCTGCAAAGGGATCACCCTCACAAAGGGCCCTGCTTCTTAGCCATCGCAGCGGAAAGGCCAGATGGGGTTTCGGAGCTTAACAGGTTCGTGGCCCACCATTGATCTGATAGCCCATCAACCATAATGTTACAAAGTGAAGGGATTTTACACTGATTACAAAACCAGGTCGACCATGTTCAATTTGTTTTTGAAGGCTAGGGGCATAGTCAACGTGTCATGGAGGAAACCAACTCTTATGCAGTATCCCGGCCTTGCTGCCAGTGCCTGTCAACACAAAGCCCCGGCAAATTGCTGACCATGC